AGCGTGATCTCTAAGCTCATCCAATCTGGGCAAAGTAGAAGCTTGTAGCTATAACTTTAAGGGCTGGAGCAGAGACACCGCCATCGCCTTTGTCAAATACTGAGTTTCTCTCACTTACAAGAATGGGTTCTTCAGTATCTCCACTAGGGAGGAAAATTATATCCTAAGATGTACCTGCCATATATACACTCAAGAGAGGGAAACAAGCTTGCCTTGTCATTAGAGAAGGATATAAAGTTTCAGAGTGGCTTCATTTACACAAAGCAATTTAACAGGCGGCTGCTGCTGCTGGGTTCAAAGGCAGCATCGGCGGAGATGCCTGACACACAGCTGAACTGTTGCAGGAGAACGCAGTAGGATCTCGTTTATAGCCTGCCTGTGACAAATAGTCGTATTTCCATCTAATTGTTGGAAAGGGCCAATCCATGGGATGAAAAAAAGGGGGGGATATGGAGGCTGCTAACCCTCCTCCATAGAGGATGCATGGAGGTTAGTGGTGCCTGATCTAGGGGAAGAGAAGTGCAACTTTTGGCTTTAAGGATCCTTTGTCCATAAAAAGACATAGAAGAGAGGAAGATCAGATGAGTCATTACATACACACTCCATTCTTATAATAATGGTGGTTGGAGGATGGTGGTCTCCTGAGCTTGCTTATCTCTACAGGACGAAATATATCCTCTTGGCCAAACTCTTAAGCCTCAGTTTCAACGTACTTCTGAGAAGCAGGTTTGGCAGAAGAACTATCAGGGAGAATGCCAAGTTTCATCCTAGTAAGATAACCATAAAAGACTGCTAGAGAACTCAAATAAAAATCCAGGTTTCATTTCTAGCAGTATCAGTTGTGTGTTACACAAGAAGAATGTCTTAATGTCTTATCTACTGGGATTGATTTTCCTTGTTGGTCCCCACATATACTGCTGAGGATTTCATTTGTTTATTATTTAAAAGCATATCAGTTGCCTTTCTAGACCTTGTTCATCCAATGTGGCAAATGAAGCTTCTAGCCTGACAGGAAATGATACTCAGTTGTTCAGAAGGCCAGGTCGTGGAATTTCTTTTCCTGTCTGCCAGAGTATTTACTTGCAAGAAACCTGGGAAAACACATGTATTTCTTTCAAAAACAAGCTCAAAGGCATAATGACAACCTGAAGAACAGCAACATACATGCCGCACACACATACAAAAAAACACAAAATCCTGCTGCCAGAGGGGAGAACTTTACTTTGTCCACTGAAGTGATTTTTGGATGAACATCAGAGGAGAAACTTGGTGATCTGTATTCCCCGTAAGATGGAAGATGTGACCATAAAGATGTGACAGGCTAAATACACATTTTTGAAATCTCTATCTAAAGATAGTCTTAAGAAGAAAAAAGAAAGAAACACCAGCAAGTAATAAAGGACAGTTATATATTAGATTTCTAAAACAGTATCTGACTTACATGGAAACATTAACCGGTATAAGATTCAAATAAACCTCTGGGCTTGGATTAAGTTCCTATAACCAACGAAATTATCTCTCTTCACTAGGGAGTATTCAATACATTTGCTGTATATTTTTCACATTACACAATCTCCTTGTTTATGTGTGGCTTATACTCTGTGGGGGACGTGGTGGCGCTGCGGGCTAAACCGCAGAAGCCTGTGCTGCAGGGTCAGAAGGCCAAGCAGTCGTAAGATCGAATCCACGCAACGGAGTGAGCTCCCATTGCTTGTCCCAGCTCCCGCCAACCTAGTGGTTCGAAAGCATGCAAATGCAAGTAGATAAATAGGGACCACCTCGGTGGGAAGGTAGCAGCGTTCCGTGTCTAAGTCGCACTGGCCATGTGACCACGAAAGCTTGTCTTCGGACAAAACACTGGCTCTATGGCTTGGAAATGGGGATGAGCACCGCCCCCTAGAGTCGAATACAACTGGACAAAAATTATCAAGGGGAACCTTTACCTTTACCTTTACCTATACTCTGTGACCATATGTCATGTTTCATTCATTTGCTAGTATGTCTTGAATAATAGTTTACCAGATTACACTGTATATCCAAGACACATCCAGTTTCTGCAGCTGTGCTACATAAGGCTGATAGTGTCATCAGACTTACACATGAAACTTATGGAACAGGATTTCAGCCTATTAAGACCTAATGTGTCATTTTATATGTAAAAGACATTTCCAATTCATGGAAAAGTTGTTTCATATTTTGCACAGGATATTGGAAAAGAGAATATGCTAAATCCAAGTACACTGGTGCCTCGCATAGCGATCGCTCCGTTTTACGGCGAAATTGTTTAGCAACACTGTTTTTGCAATTGCAAAAGCGATCGCTTTGTGATGGTCCCTATGGGTGAATTTCGCTTTGTGATGATCGCAAAGCCCCCATTTTCGGCCAGCTGATCGGTGGTTTCAAAATGGCCGCCGGGTAAACAAAATGGCCGCCCGCTGTTTTCAGGCACGGATTCCTCGCTTTAAAGGCACCGAAAATGGCGGCGCTATGGAGGATCTTCACTTAAAGGTGAGTTTTAATCCCATAGGAACGCATTAATCACATTTTAATGCATTTCTATGGGCTTTTTATTTTCGCTTAGCTATGTTATCGCTTAGCAGCGATTTTTTCGGAATGAATTAACATCGCTAAGCGAGGCACCACTGTATATTCTTGCTTCCTCAAACTCTTGCGGAAGGATGACATTTCTACACCTAGATGGGGGACCTTTGATGTCTAGCATGGGGCTGGATAACATCACAGAGTGAGGCTATGCTCCTGATGTCACTGGATAACCTGGATGATGTACTTGTGAAGGTTCCAAGTTAATATTTTATAGAGAAAATCCAGATGAAGGCTGAGGAAGCATTCCACCAGCTGGTAACTTAATCAACATGACTATGGGTTGCTTTTCATCTTCCCTGCACAAGGAAGGATGTTAGAGAGAAGTTGCCTCAGGCACTAACGTGAGGACCTGAGAAGGTAGGAGTGGAGCAAAGCAGATTTGGCCAGCTCTTCTGAGCTTGAGTTTCAGCCAGCTTGATACCTCCTTCCCCTTCCCCACATTGGGAATGCAAGCTAAAATAGAACTGACCATACCATGGGTCAAAATTATTGATCAGTTTACTCTCCTGCCTCTCTCCCCTAAGGAAAGAAGCTTCAGGTATTTCTATCATCCCATGGCTAGAAAAACTAGCCTACTGGACCAAATTTGGTTCATTGCCCAGAGTTTCCCTAATCCTGTTCTATACAATCGAACTGTCACAGCACAATGCAAACCCTTCCATGAGCACCCCATGGACATTTTGCTAACAGTACTAACTAGTATTGTCACCACCGCTCATAAGATCCCATTTCACTGTAACAGACAGGCAAACATTAAGGTGGGAAACAACATTCTGGAAACCAGAAGCCTACCAATTCTGGCTAAAGACATTTTATATCTGCATACACTCTGTGTGTCTACATTAGCTTGATCTGCTACATAGGAACGGATCTTAAATGTGCCTCCTTTGACCAGAAGAGTTCATTTTGTGAACTGAGAGCTCCGAATTCAACACAAAGGGCCACTGGCAGAAGTGGGAAAAGGCAACTCTGGTCAATAATCCTTTCTCAGCAGCTCCCCACTTCTGTTCCAGAAGGCATCACAACTCCCTAGCAGACTTTCAGGTAGCATAAGGGAAGGGGGTAAATGGGGAAATCAGGTATTTAATGGTATGTCTCCACTCCCCATTGGTGGAAACAAACTTAGGTTTGACAGTTTAGTGCCGCATTTTGAGATCTCGCAATGAAAGTGAAGAGACTGAAGTTGACTTTCCCATCTCTTCTTTTCCAGACCAGCTCACAAAGGCTCCTGAAATACTGACCCAATCATGGCAACCTTTTTGAAGGGGTAGGGTGGGTCACAGATCGCTGAGTGGGAAAGGACAAATTATAGGAAACTGGGTGAAGATGCTTTTTGTGAGATTACATTAGATGGCTACAACAGCACGTGAACAGGTATCCAGTCACATGTCATATGGAATGTAATTAACTAACAGTTACCTAACAGCATTTGTTATTATATCCACACCATCCAGATTTCAAGGGTGCTGGACACAAGTAATAAGCAGCTTTTCCTAAATTCCCAGATGACAGGACGGGATTGACAGGAATATTATGAGAGGACCGAGAAATAATAAATTCATTTCATGTCTAACAAACCAGTTGCACATATGAGAGGACTCTGGGTAAACCAATTCCAGAATCAAATTAAAAACAATGAAAAATGCTATTTAATATTAAAATGGTACTGACTGTACTACTGCAGCTAGAAATGTTCTCTAGATCGGAATTGTGTGGGGCCAAAGAATCATATCATCCACAAACATTTTTGTTTTATTAATTGAATGCATACTAGATAGCATCAAGTGGTGAATATGCCAGCACTGTTTTAAATTAATAGTTTTGAAATCAATAAAACTCCAAAAAGGAAGAGAGGAGGAGGAGGAGAGAAAGAAAATGAGAGGCAGAGAGGGAGTATCACAGCCTACGAATGACAAGAGATTTTTTTAAAAAGAAATGCCAATTTTAACATTAATAATACATTTGAGTATAAATAGGAGAGAATAGATTAGATGTGAAATATCGGATACACACATCGCATACTTAAAATGTGTGTGAAAATAAAGTTAGAAAAACTTCAAATCCTCAGTGATGGTAACGAGCAAGGTCTCTTTAATCTCACCTGTTTTTCAGGAACATATGCATTTAATGCAATTAACATAGGCTTGATCAGTTACTATTTGAAACAAGATTTTAATTTGTAGGAATTTTATTATAGAAGCTAGAAATATTGTTCAACATAAACACTATTCTTAATTCTTCCAAGAAGGCACTGCAGTGCTTATAGAGGAGATACCATGCCAACTATCTAAACTAGGAAGGCAAGTAAGCCTATAAGGAAGGAAATGTGAATAACTGGTCTATCATCTACTGTTGTAATTGGAAATGTTAACATTAGCAGGAATATTGGTACTTACTGTGCCCGGATCTCTGTCTGTTCCCGTAGAAACCAAGAAATGCACAGACATGCCCGTTCAGACACAGAGGCAAGAACAGAAATAAAAAAGGGGGGAAAATTAGAACACAAGCCGCGAACAGTTTTAAAATGGCTTTTATTTATATAAGTCATTGCACATTCCTAATACAGTGATTTCCTGAAAATTACATTTTGTAAACATGATTTACAATTTAAGCATACACAAAGCCTAGTTCTTCCCATGACAGAATAAATTAGTTTTTTCTTCTTCTTCAAAAATTATTCAAGTGCAATTTTGCCCAATATTTAAAGGTGTTCTAAACAAATCTACAACACAGATGTAATGTTCGAAACTTTCATTTCAACACATTCACCTCAAAATTTGACGGTTTTTGTTTGCCTACCCTTCTCTCACACTCTTTCCATTATTTTTGT